AAAACTTTGTCAGTCAGGATTCGACATGTTCATTTTCCACTACCTTTGCAGGTTTATGATCCTGATATTATTATTATTATTATTATTATTATTATTATTATTATTATTATTATTATTATTATTAACTGCAGTTCAAACTGCATTAAATAGTCAGTGTAGATGTGGCCTGGGTGCAAACTACTTTCTGCCTTTGAACTCAATTTGGAGCAATTAAAGTAAGCAGAGGACAAAGAAAGAAAGTGGAAGGAGAAAAACAAGAGATTTTAAAAGTGGGGGGGGGGGATTAATAAGAAGATAAATTTGGACTGTCCCTACCAAATTCAGGTAGTTGGAATGTGTTGGAGATGGAAAGGGGAACTGTTTGGCCACAAAAAAATAGGGATTTCATCAAAAGCCTGGGCTGTTTATGTTGGCTAAATCCGACAAGGATCTAAATGCCTGCATTTTGGAAGGCGCTTCACCCACACCCCTAAGCGGTACCATTTCCCCACCTCCTCCTCCTCCCTTGTACATCTGCCCAGCACGTCCCATGAACAACATCTGTGTTCAGTCTTCTCTCCAAAGCGGAAACTCCTCAGCAAGTGAGCGAGAATTTCCATCGGGTGAACTGTCCTCGCCGCCCCTTTCTTTCCAGCCAAATTCAGTCCCATCTACAAGCTTCTGGAAGGGAAGGGAAAAGAGAGAAAGATTTCGCCAGCACAAATGGTTCTCTTTTCTCTGTTCTGTTCCTCTGTTCTGTTCCTTCTACCAATCAGCTAGGCTGGAAAGCAACATTCCACTTAAATCAAGCAACATCCATGTATTTCATAGGGCTCTCTTAGGCAAGGAATACTCAAAAATGTTTTCCAGTCCTTTCCTTTGAAACATGGTCTACAGCACGTGGTATTTGTGTAACCAAGTACTAACCACAACTGACCCTATTTCCAAAATCTGACACAATCTGATGCCTTTACAGTTTTTAGGCTCCTAGATACCACTACGCCCCAGGACAAATGCTATATCTAGGGGATCATAGCAAACTAAACAGGTTGCTGGATTCAGCTAAGTGCAATGGTACAGAATCCAAGGCTGTAAAAAAGAAAGTGAAGATGAGACCCAATTTGGCATTAAGAACCGGCTTGCTGTAGCTTTCATAAATGGGTAAGGATGCTAAATGCTGATTGACATTAATTCTAGTAGTAATATAAGTCACCTGCCAGCTATGGTAACCCTGTTAATTTCATAGCCCTTTCTTGGGCCAGAAATACTCAGAGGTAGGTTGTTGTAGGTTTTTTCGGGCTATATGGCCATGGTCTAGAGGCATTCTCTCCTGACGTTTCGCCTGCATCTATGGCAAGCATCCTCAGAGGTAGTGAGGTCGGTTGGAACTAGGAAAAAGGGTTTATATATCTGTGGAATGACCAGGGTGAGACAAAGGACTCTTGTCTGCTGGAGCTAGGTGTGAATGTTTCAACTGACCACCTTGATTAGCATATAATGGCCTGACAGTGCCTGGAGCAATCTTTTGTTGAGAGGTGATTAGATGTCCTTGTTTGTTTCCTCTCTGTTGTTTTGCTGTTGTAATTTTAGAGTTTTTAAATACTGGTAGCCAGATTTTGTTCATTTTCATGGTTTCCTCCTTTCTGTTGAAACTGTCCACATGCTTGTAGATTTCAATGGCTTCTCTGTGTAGTCTGACATGGTGGGTTGGAGTGGTCCAGCATTTCTGTGTTCTCAAATAATATGCTGTGTCCAGGTTGGTTCATCAGGTGCTCTGCTATGGCTGACTTCTCTGGTTGAAGTAGTCTGCAGTGCCTTTCAAGTTCCTTGATTCGTGTTTGGCGCTGCGTTTGGTGGTCCCTATGTAGACTTATCCACAGCTGCATGATATACGGTAGACTCCTGCAGAGGTGAGAGGATCCCTCTTGTCCTTTGACAATACATACTCAGAGGTACTTTGACATATCCTTCCACTGACTTATACTGGCTTCGTAATCTTTTTCCCACTCACGACCCCTTTCCGTCTGAGAAATGTTTATGTGACCCCAGCTATATAAAATAGGTGGGCATCCATAGGGAGACCAAGGTGCTTGTTTATAAAGCTATTGTCCTCCCAAATCTGCTATACGTCTGTGAAACGTGGACTGTCTACAGACGTCACACTCAACTCCTGTAATGATTCCATCAGCATTGCCTCTGAAAAATCCTGCAAATCTCTTGGGAAGATAGGCGGACAAATGTCAGCGTGACGGAAGACGCAAAGACCACCAGCACTGAAGCGATGCTCCTCCTCTATCAACTCCACTGGGCTGGCCACATTGTCCGAATGCCCAATCTCCATCTCCCAAAGCAGTTACTATACTCCCAACTCGAGAACGGAGAATGGAATTTTGATGGACAGGAAAAGAGATTTAAAGAAGGGATAAAAAGCTAACCTTAAAAACTGTGGCATAGACACGGAAAACTGGGAAGGCCTGGCCTTTGAGTTCTCTTGTTGGAGGTCAGCTGTGACCAGCAGTGCTGTGGAATTTGAAGATGCAAGAATGGAGGGGAAAGGGGAGAAACATGCCAAGAGGAAGGTGCATCAAGCCAAACCTGACTTGGACCTGGAAACTGATGCCCTCACTGTGGAAGAACATACGGATCAAGAATAGGGCTTTACAGACACCTACATATCCACCGCCAAGACATTACACTTGGAAGGCCATCATTCTCGGACAACGAGAGATCACCTAAGAAGAAGATAAAATAGGTGTACAAACTAAACATTTACTGATAATTTATCAGCCAAACAGGCAGATTTTCCCTTTTTATGAAGCATAGTTGAAGCTTTTTCTGCAGAGTGCACTGTAAACACCACATGTTGTGGCAAATGGATTTGCGTAAATTAATTGCATTCAGAAACGTACTGTTGCAATTTTTGTGTGACTTCAACATTGAGCTGAGGGGACCCCATTTGAGGTCAGGATCTATAGTTTAAGAAGCAGTGGTAGAGAAGAAGAGGATTAAGAAGAGACACGGTAGTCTCTGTTCCAAATACAAAACAGGCCTGACCTTGCTTCGTTTCCGAAATCAAGCTGATGCCTTCAGGGTACACAAAACAAAATGCTGACAAAAGATGAATCATTCTCCCCAGAGTAAAGAAGTGCAAAAACTCATAGAATCCTTGAGTTGAAAGAGACCTGTGGGCCAACCAGTCCAACCCCCTGCCAAGAAGCAGGACAATCGCATTCGAAGTACCCTGGCAGATGGCCATCCAGTTTCTGTTTAAAAGCCTCCAAAGAAGGAGCCTCCACCACACTTCAGGGTAGAGGTTCCACTGATGAACAGCTCTCACAGCCAGGAAGTACTTCCTCATATTCAGGTGGAACCTCCTTTCCTATAGTTTGAAGCCATTGCTCTGGGTCCTAGTCTCCAGGGCAGCAAACAAGCTTGCCCCCTCCTCCCTATGACATCCCTTCACATATCTATACATGGTTATCATGTCTCCTCTCAGTCTTCTCTTCTGCAGGCTAAACATGCCCAGCTCTTTAAGCTACTCCTCATAGGACTTGTTCTCCAGACCCTTGATCATTTTAGTCGCCCTCCTCTGGACACAATCCAGCTTGTCAGCATCTCCCTTCAAGTGTGGTCTAACCAAGTCAGAATAGAGGGATAGCATGACTTCCCTGGATCTAGACACTATGCAGTTCAGAATCCCACTGGCTTTTTAGCTGCAGCATCACATTGCTGGCTCGTGTTTAAATTGTTGTCCACAAGGACTCCAAGATCTTTTTAAATATACTTTTGTCGAGCCATGCGTCCCCCATTCTGTACTTTGCATTTCATTTTTTTCTACCTAAGTGGAGTATCTTGCATTTGTCTCCATTGAACTTCATTTTGTCAGTTTTGGCCCATCTCTCTAATCTGTTAGATCGTTTTGAATTCTGCTCTTGTTGTCTGGGGTATTGGCTATCCCTCCCAATTTGGTGTCATCTGCAAACTTGATGATCGTGCCTTCTAACCCTTCATCTAAGTCATTAATAAAGATGCTGAACAGGACCAGTGGGCCCAGGACAGAACCCTGCTGATGGCACTCCATGCGTCACTTCTTTCCAGGATGAAGAGGAAGCATTGGTGAGCACCCTCTGGGTTTGTCCGCTTAACCAATTACAGATCCACCTAACCATAGTTTTGCTGTATCAGAAGCAACCAGGGGGACACTTGCAACGTATTTTTTAAAAAGTTAAAAACTTGGCATTATACTAAATGTCCTTTGACCAGTTGCTGGCCACTTGGAGTGCCTCTGGTGTTGCTATAAGGAGGTCCTCCATTGTGCATTTGGCAGGGCTCAGGTTGCATTGTAGTAGGTGATCTGTGGTTTACTCTTCTTCACACTCACATTTCGTGGACTCCACTTTGTGGCCCCATTTCTTAAGGTTGGCTCTGTATCTCGTGGTGCCAGACCGCAGTCTGTTCCGCATCTTCCAAGTCATTCAGTCTACTGTGTGTCTAGGGAGGAGTCTCTCATTTGGTATCAGCCATGGCTTGAGGTTCTGTTTTAGCCTGCCAGTTTTGGACTCTTGTTTGCTTAGGTATTCCTGCGAGTACTCTGCATCTTGTGGTGCCAGACTGCAGCCTTTCAGAGCCTTCCAAGTCACTTGTAGTGACTCACTTAGCAGAGGGAACTCTAGTAAGTTTGTGTAACAAGATGGAAGTCAATCTGGTATTTTTCAGATGCCTTTTATGAAAACTCTTGTAAGTACCAGTTGGAACAGGTTTTGCATCTCACCTGTGTGGCCACTCAAAATGGGTTTGTTACAGCCATGGCGAGCATAACTATCCCTTTCTATTTGATGTATTTCAATAGCTTCCTGCCCCACTGATTTCAAAGAATGAATACACTTATCTGCCAACTCAAAATGGGCTGTAGACCAGGAAACCTTTATGTCATGCAAAAAGACTCGCCTGATGATGTTCCCACAAGTCTTTTGGCTGAATTACTGATAAGTTTCCCCACAGAAACAAAAGATTTACAGCAGTTTATGGTATTGTTGCTTCTTTATTTTGTACACACATATTTATCTCTTTGCATATTTTTAAAAAAAGATAGTCACAAACAACAGCACCTCAATTAAGGCGAGATGGGGTTAACAATAAGTGGGGAGCAAGGCATATACATATTTCTACCTAAGCTACAAAACACACAGAAGTATATAAAAAAGGCAAAGGCAGAGAAACAGCAGGATAAATTTGTTTCTTAAAACAACATAACACTAAAAGCCTAGTGCTGAACTGATAAGAAGAGAACGTCGTTGTCGTCATGGCCACAATGCAAAGAACAAACATTGTCTACATTAGCCTTTCCTAGCCAGGTGTCCTCCAGAACTGCCGGACTACAACTCCCATAAGATCACAGCCATGCAGGCTCATGGGAACTGTAACCAAACACACCTGGGGAGCGCCAAGACTACTCTCAATTCTCTCCCAGGGGCAGTCTGTTTGCTTTTGCTGAACCGGCGACACAAAATAGGCCAAAATTACACATGTAACACTTCAGTGAACACAAACATTTCAATAATGCTATTTTCCTTCACCGAGACAAAATTAAAGCTGATGTCTCAAAGACATACATGGCAGGCACCTTTATTTTTATATTCAGTATAAAAAATGAAAGGCAAGATTGGTTGTCCATAAACAATACTGCTTTTTGGTATGAGGCATTTTACATATTTTTAATCCTTTGGTAAATAACTGCGGAAGGTGCAGCTTCCATGCTATTTTTCAGCATGGCAATGGTTGCTTTATTGGCTAAATCTATTGGGTTTCTTCCCTGGACTGTACAAGTCTCCAGTCCTCAATGAGTAGCTTATATATAGGATATATCTAGATATATCTAGTATCCTTAGATATAGGATTAGAGTGAGGGATTCCTTTCTTCACATTCCTATGCATGCTTTTCCCAGAAGGGGCTTTGCCTTATTCTTCTTGCTTGACACTATCTCCTCCCCTCTTTGAGAATGTAGCAATGGAATCTCTGTAAGGCATGAGGTAACTTCCTCTTTAAAGGTATTTTTGTTGCCCTGGGTTTTGGCAATGTAGTCATTCTCCATTTCTCCCTTCTCTCTCTCTACTTCATCACACTAGAGAATGAATTACTTTAAATCCAGTTTCTGCCTCCTGCAGAATTCTGGGGTTTGTAGTTTAGTAAGGCTGTTAAACACTCATCCCTAAACTACAAACCTCAGAATTCTGCTGGAGGCAGAATCCGGAATTAAAGTAGATCCATTCTCTAGTATAATGATGTATTCTACCTTTGTCTCTTTTCCAGTAAGGAAGCATTTTGCCTTTCTCCAGGCAAAGTGTAGCTGCATGGATACTTTTGATATTTTATTCTTTTACCTTCCTTAGAAAATGAACTTAGTAAGCGAGTTAGCTTAAAAACCATTTCTATCTAGAACTGTTTTCTTTTTTACTTAAATATTTTGAACCTAAAATTGTGACTCTGCAATCCTGTTCCATCCTGCTGAATAGAAGGTAATCCTGACTCACCACATATAAGTTTCTGCTGATTGTGAAGTCTGCTTCTAGCACTCTGCTATATTTATGGTTGAATCATTTTTTTTTGAGCCCAACAAAATCCAATAATCACTTCAGGGTGTTTTTTCCTTTCTTTCAACTAAGTCCTGTTTATTATCTAAATCTAATTGGAAGCTACTCTCAAATGGAAACTACAGAAGAGTGAACTCACCCTTCAAGACTACAATGGCCATGTTACCCACTTTGGGAATTATGCAGCTTTCCTTTTTCAGCTAATTGATAGTGAAATGTGAATGAGTTGATTCTGATCTCTATTTAAGCAGGAATGACTTTTCATGTTCTGTTCATTCCAATGGCATTTGCCCAGGAGAAAATGACCTCATTGTATTTGTATGAATGGCAGAACTCTACATTCATTAAGGGCTGACAATACATTCAATAATGCCTTGAAATAAACACTCTGCTTCTGCAAAGTGAGAAGATCTTCTCATTGCTTTTAAGGTTCTACTGCCAGGCAAAACTCTTCATTAAAAGGGAGTTCTCTAAACTTTTCTTACCAGAATACGGATCTGGCACTCTCTTATGACCTCTGAGCCCAATTTAGGGTCTCCTATCCCTAACATATATGAATAAGTCCTCTATCTATGTTCTCTAAGTGAAGAACCCAGTGGCCTCAGCACAGAATTATCACAAATGGCAAAAAGTGATGGAAAAATAGGAATACTGAAGCAACATATATACAATGGAAGGGAAATAACTTCTATGAACTTAGAAACGTTTGTGTAAGGCAGATTTAGAAAATGTCCAAATATGCAAAGTTGTAGGAAATGAAATATTGTGAGGCTCCCCTTCATTCAAGAATAGCAGTCCCAGGAGCATGGTCAATTTGAACCTTGTGTTTCTGTTCCCCTACCTGCAACATATCCCAAATTATGAAGTTCCCAGATAGTTACGCAATTTTTGGTAAAACACAAGAAGGCACAGGTGAATCCAAAAACAGTGGAGGGCAATACATACGTACAGGGAAAGAGCCCTCATGCAAACCTCTGGTGTGTGATGGGAAAATGCTAAGTGCACAACAAGCTAAAAGCATGAGATGTGGCATGAAAAAGGGATGACAAGGGGGGGGGGGAATGTACAAAAAGAGAAGGGGAAATGGCAGAAACAAGAGCATGAAGGATCATAGTAAGGAAGAAAAAGAGAGGAGCACAGAAAGAGATGGAGAAAGCAGGATACAACTTCTTTCTCCATCCTTTGCTATTCTCCTCCCCAAGTTTTCTTCTTTCCTCCCCCTTGACCTTCTCTGCCCTGACTCTTGATGCCACCAGCCATCTATTCTTGGATGAAGATCAGCCGTGCAGAATACACCAAGTCAGCAAGATAAACCAGCAGATTGACAGCTGTCAGGACGGCGATGGCAACAAACTTGTCCCAGTAGCAGAACGAAGATGTTCTACAGAAACCTGGCCGGGAGGGTGTTCCCCCATGCTTCCGGTCGAACTTGTAGATGGGCCAGATGATGGTGGCTGTTGCATACATGAGCACAGCCAGAAGAGTGTAGCCACTCAGGAACTTGTTGAACGGACAGGGCAGCCAGCCGGTGCATTCGCCAATGCAGAGAATGATGACCACCAACGACAGGATGAAACAAATGCAGTAGACAGCCATGCACCACTGAAGAGCCTCTGGGTGATCGTAGGAAACCGGATCACTGATGAAGACAAAGATGATACAAGCAATGAAGGTCTCCACCACCTTAAGCAGGCCGGGAACAGTGGCCATATAGCCAGTGACTTCTCCTGGTTTGGCTTTGGTTAAGGTAACCTCTGTAGAGTAAGCCAAGAAGGCGAGGCAAGAGAATACTGTGGCAGCAATGCGGTATCCTCGCTCTTCACGGGGAAGGCTTTGGCTCTGGATGAAGGTTACTGGGTAGATGATGGAAGCGGAGAGGCACACCAAGGTGGCATACATGGCGAACGTGATGGGGAAGTTTTTCCAGGAGACTGGCATGCGGTGCTGAAGGCCAACAACTTCCACCACCAAGATGACAATGGTGATGGCGAAGCAAATGCACCACGAGAACATGCACCAGTCGCCATTACGCCCATACCAGGCACTGCGGTGGACCACCAAGCTGAAGGTGACACATGTGAAAATAGCTTCCAACAGGCGGATGATACCCAGTTGAGAAGTCAGGGCATTAGTATTGAACGACGACTTTGAGCGGGTTACCGGCATTGTAGAAATATCTAAGGAGAAGAATTAAAACAGAGAAATGTTAAAAGAGGCCATAAGCAATGTGCAACTTGATCTTGAGATGTGTGATGGTATAGAAATGGAACTCCTATCAACCCTACCCAGCAAGGCTAATAATGAGGACTGGGGGAAATTGTGAAAGTAGGTGGAAGGCTATTCATCTCTTGTCCCTGGCACAAAGTAGTGAGGAATCTATGCAATTATTGGACCATGAGCACCTTCAGGCTTAGCCAGGATTTGCCATTGCTTAAGGATTCTGGTAACACTAATCTACTCATATCTAAATAATCACTGGTTTTTCATTTTTGGGTCCAGCATCAGGTTCTAACTCCAGAGGGCTAAGGTTTAGGTATAAAACTCATGTTTAGTCAGTGTAAGAAATCTCAGCAGGTTCTGATAAGATTGAAAATGTACGAAGGGTATTTCATTCAACACCAACTGTGTCCTCATGCTCACAAGCATACATTGTCCCTTGACATATCATCTCTGAAGGAAAGTATCCCTTTAGTGCAGTAGTTCTCAACCTGTGGGTCCCCAGATGTTTTGGCCTTCAACTCCCAGAAATCCTAACAGCTGGTAAACTGGCTGAGATTTCTGGGAGTTGTAGGCCAAAACACCTGGGGACCCACAGGTTGAGAACTGCTGCTTTAGTAGCAAGAAAAGGGCTCCTGACTACTCATGTACACCAACCTGAATTTGGGATGAAACCCCACTAAATGTATCTCCCAACTTGTTATCCAATCTGGAACATACCTTTACCTAAGAGGACCATCATCCCTTTCGTATGATACCAGAAATTAAGGGCTACTCTTCCCCTAGAGAAGACAATTAGTCCTGAACTGTTTTCCAAGAATAATGTAATCTGATTTCTCAAGAACATGGCAGAATTAAATCAAAGAGAATTGCCTTTCTAAGAACCCAACAGCAATTCAATATACTTCATGCAGAGCCAGCTCATAAATAGCACTTAGCAAGCACAATGAAGGTAATGCATAAAATCTCAGTGGCTGAAGCAATCTCTCCTCTGAAAAACCGTGTGTTGACAAACAACAGCTGAAGCCCACCATTTTACTTGTGAGCTGCCATGAACTATGGGACACCTTTGCCTTCTTCCTTGTTGTCACATTATAGTGTGACCCCATGGATTCCGTACGGCAGTGGTTCTCAACCTGTGGGTCACCAGGTGTTTTGGCCTACAATTCCCAGAAATCCCAGCCAGTTTACCAGCTGAAGGCCAAAACATCTGGAGATCCACAGGTTGAGAACCACTGGGAAAACCCAGATGTGGTTTGCCATTACATCTCTTTAAAATATATCCTATATATCCTATAGCACCAGGAATTCCTTGGCAGTCTCCCATTCAGCTAACCAGGCCTGAACCTGCTTAATTTTTAAGATCATGCATGGTTTGTATATTCGGTATACAGTGTTCCCTCACTTATCGCAGGTGTTATGTTCCAGGATCACCCGCGATAAGTGAAAATCCACGAAGTAGGGACGCTCTCTCTCTCTATATATATATAGTGTTCCGAGAGTAAGGCAGAAGCAAGGAGAAATTTAAAAGCACCGCACACTTTTCTTTTTGCTAGCTATAAGGAAGGGGATATAAGGCTGTGATTTAAATACTGTTTTGTATCTCCTCTCTCTCTTTATTATGAATGAACACGCTCCTTGAAACATTATGTAAATCACAGCCACCTTGATTGGCTGCCTCTCTCCCGAGTGGGAGGATGAAACCCATTTTTCACACTCCATCGTTGCCAGGAGGCAGGATTTGGGCAACGGCAACCATTCATAAACTGAGAGGCAGCCTCACCTCCAAGCTTCATTGGCGTCCCAGTAGGGTAAACAAGCTGGGATTGACAACCACTGGCAGGGTTGCGAGCCAATGGTGGGTGTATTATGCATGTGCAGAACGAGTGCCGCAAAAAACCCGCGAAACAGCAAGTCCACAAAAAGCGAACCGCAAAGTAGCAAGGGAACACTGTACCACCTTCACTCTTGTTCTGAATTAAATATCAGGAACACATATCCTAGATTATCTTTCCTGAAGCCTATCACAATACAAAGCAGCAAACAGAGATGACAAAGGACCCTTCCAGAGAGGTCCTATATCCCAGGATATGATCCCAAGTTTTCCGTTTATCCCAGATTATCTAGCAATGTGGACTCATATAACCCAGTTTAAAGCAGAAAACCTGGGATCAGATTCAGGGATATAGGGCCTTTCTGGAAGGACCCTAAAGTGATTTTTGTCAGGGTTGATACAAGAACAAAATTGATTGTGTGTGTGTGTGTGTGTGTGTGTGTGTGTGTGTACACGCGTGTGTGTGTGCACACACATATGCAAAAAAGCAAAAGACTGGCAGAAGTATCTAGAATTCTTTTTTTACAGAAAGTGCCACAGGAAATCGTGCAGGAAATTCACTCTGCTGTCGAAGTTGCGGAATGGATTGTAGGTGTTAAGCATATTGAGATAGAAAGATAACAACAGGTTAAAACTGAGATAGATGACAAGTAAACCAAGGAAGCTGAAATAAAACTATCACCGAAGTGCCAAGCAGAATGAAAACATGTCTGAAACTCACTTTAATAATAATAAACACGGGGCGTTCAGAATGGAGAAGGAAATTTTAAGAAATGTACACACATGATCATGGCAAGCAAGCAGACGAACAGCCTCCCACAGCTTGTTCAACACTCTTCTAAAGCATCTTCACCTGCTGATACAACTAACTTACACCTGTAGTTGAATTCACGCTGTCCAGAATCTATTTTGTGTTGTTATTGTGTGCCTTTAAGCCATTTCCAAATGTTGGCCCTATCACAGGATTTTCTTGGGAATATTTGTTCAGAGGGGGGTTGCCAATTTCTTCCACTGAAGTAAGCCAGTGGGTTTCCCAAACTTCTAGTCCAACACTCAAAACCATGACATCATGCTGACTCCCAGGAATCTAACCCTTGTATCCACTGAGGTTTGGTTTCAGGACGCCCATGGATACTCAAGCCCCACAGTATACAATAGCATAATAAAACAATGTCTCATATATAAAATGGCAATGATGTGCGTGTATGTATGGAATATTTTCAAGTTGTGAATGGCTGCATCCATTCATATGGAAGGCTGATTGTACTAGGCAAATAAGAGAATCACTTACCGTATATCCTCGAGTATAAGGCAAGTTTTTCAGCCCTTTTTAAAGGCTGAAAAAGCCTCCCACATCTTATACTCACGTCAAGGTTATTTGTTATTTTACTCTATTATTATAATAATTTCTATTACATTTATTATTTTACTCTCTTTATTATTATTACATTTACAATATTTTTCTTTATTATTGTTGTTATTACATTTATTATTTTACACTATTTATTATTATTACATTTATTATTTTACTCTTCTTACTGTTATTATTACATTTCCATTATTTTACTCTATTATTATTACATTTATTATTTTACTCTCTTTATTATTTTACTCTATTATTATTATATTTATTATTTTACTCTTTATTAGTACATATTTTATTATTATTACCTTTATTATTTTACTCTCTTTATTATTATTTTACTCTATTATTGTTATTATATTTATTATTTTACTCTTTATTATTACATATATTATTACTATTCTTATTACATTTACATTATTTTACTCTATTATTATTATTACATTTATTATTTTACTCTATTATTATTGGAAGGATACGTCAACACATTTACATTGAAGAAAGTTAGAATAATGGTTTAATCAGAGTGGGACAGTCTTATCTTAAATTAGTTTTATGTAAATATTCAAAACCATTTAACCTACAGATGCCTCAATTAATGTTATTTTATTGGTATCTATTTTTATTTTGATCTTTACCAGTAGCTGCTGCATTACCCATCCTCGGCTTATACTCAAGTCAATACGTTTCCCCAGTTTTCTGTGGTAAAATTAGGTGTCTTGGCTTATATTTGGGTCGACTTATACTCAAGTATATATGGTATATTTGCAGATAAAGAAAATCTCCTCCAGGATTTCTCTGTTGCATGGACATCTCAACCAATCATAGATCGCCTTCCCAATTGGTGAGGAGGCGCTTTGAGAGAGAGAAGGTCCAAATCTAACCTGCCGTTCTGTAGTACAAATTTTAGCAATAGATTTAGAAATAAACTGTAAATTTGTTTTTGTGTTACATTGCAACGAGGATACCTGAATTGCACATTTTCCTCTTTTTAGAAAAAGTAATAAAATGGTCAGGTACCAAAACCACTATATTTTTAGTGTCGAGCAAAAAATGCTTATTATTTACCCACACATTTTAATGTTACTTAGTTTGTTTACAATCTTTCAATACCACTCCATTGCCACATTCTTGGGAAGCATAGAGGGCGAGTGTTCTACTGAATTACTTGTTTTTATGGTTTGTACCTAACAGGACAGAAAGTACCTAACAGGACAGAAAATAGCATGGGCACGTTTGAACAGAGGAATGGGGATCACATGGCCTTGCAGACGCTGTAAGACAGTGGTTCTTAACCTGTGAATCCCCAGATGTTTTGGCCCTCAACTCCCAGAAATCCTAACATCTGGTAAACTGGCTGGGATTACTGGGAGTTGGAGGCCAAAACACCTGGGGACCCACAGGTTGAGAACCACTGCTGTAAAACTTCGAATCCCACACATCTTAGCCAACAATGGGAGAATATTGGAAGATGCAGTTCAACATCTGGATTCTCCATGATTTCCACCTTTTCAAAACAGACATTACAAGTGTTTTTCCCTCTCTCTATGGGGCTGTAACTCATATTTGCACAGAACTACAATGCGTCCTTTGTATTTCATTTTGGTCCCCCACCCCACATCAAAAATCTGTGGATGCTCAAGTCCTATTATGTACAAAGGTCAAATATGTGAGTAGAATCTGTAGATCAGACATCCTTATGCCAGCGTTTCTCAACCTGGGGGTCGGGACCCCTGAGGGGATCGCGAGGGGGTGTCAGAGGA